GTGAACGCTATTGCCAAATCCTGTTACTACCAGATCAGGAACATCGGCTGTATTCGGCAGTTTCTAACTGCAGATGCATGCAAGATTTTGGTGCATTCACTTGTTACCTCTCGGTTGGATTATGGTAACGCCCTGCTCTGTGGTATATCTGACAAACTAACTAGTCGTCTGCAGTGGGTCCAGAACACTGCATCACGGCTAGTTACTCGTACTCGAAAGAGAGAGCACATCACACCTGCGCTTTATTCGTTGCACTGGTTACCTGTACGATACAGGTCGCAGTACAAAATTCTGGTATACACAATCAAGGCACTGAATGGAACAGCTCCTCAGTACCTACAGGAGCTTGTTACCCTGTATCAGCCCTCAAGATCACTGCGGTCAGAGTCAGAATCTTTGTTGTGTGTTCCAAAATCTAGTACTGTGACCTACGGAAACAGATGCTTTGGTAGGGTTTCGGCTACATTGTGGAATAGCTTACCATCTGCCATTAGGAAGTCAAATACCCTGGCCAAGTTCAAGAGGGACATAAAAACTCACCTCTTCACCTCTGCATTTTAGAATCTTTGCAAAGACGTCGTGTAAATACCACCCTTTTATTTGTTCAATTATGTGCACATTGCTTGTTAAATGTATGAAAGTGATTGCAAGCCTTTGTTGTTTGTTTTCACAATTATAACCATTACTATTATCCATATGTTGTAAAGCGCCTTAGAGTAATTTTACAAATTATATAGGGCGCTATATAAATGTTGTATATTATTATTATTATTATTATAAGGCTGGTTGGGTATCGTAAGGACTATACAAGGCTGGTTGGGTATGGTAAGGACTATATAAGGCTGGGTGGGTATGGTAAGGACTAGGCTATATAAGGCTGGTTCGGTATGGTAAGGACTATATAAGGCTGGGTGGGTATGGGAAGGACTATATAAGGCTGGTTGGGTATGGGAAGGACTACATAAGGCTGGTTGGGTATGGTAAGGACTAACTAAGGCTGGTTGGTTATGGTAAGGAATATCTAAGGCTGGTTGGGGATGGTAAGGAATATCTAAGGCTGGTTGGGGATGGTAAGGAATATCTAAGGCTGGTTGGGTATGGGAAGGACTACATAAGGCTGGTTGGGTATAGTAAGGACTATATAAGGCTGGTTGGGTATGGGAAGGACTACATAAGGCTGGTTGGGTATGGGAAGGACTAGGCTATATAAGGCTGGTTCGGTATGGTAAGGACTATATAAGGCTGGGTGGGTATGGGAAGGACTATATAAGGCTGGTTGGGTATGGGAAGGACTAGGCTATATAAGGCTGGTTCGGTATGGTAAGGACTATATAAGGCTGGGTGGGTATGGGAAGGACTATATAAGGCTGGTTGGGTATGGGAAGGACTATATAAGGCTGGTTGGGGATGGTAAGGAATATCTAAGGCTGGTTGGGTATGGTAAGGACTAGGCTATATAAGGCTGGTTGGGTATGGTAAGGACTATCTAAGGCTGGTTGGGTATGGTAAGGAATATCTAAGGCTGGTTGGGTATGGTAAGGACTAGGCTATATAAGGCTGGTTGGGTATGGTAAGGACTATACAAGGCTGGTTGGGTATGGTAAGGATTATACAATGCTTGTTGGGTATGGTAAGGACTATATAAGGCTGGTTGGGTATGGTAAGGACTATATTAGGCTGGTTAGGTATGGTAAGGACTATCTAAGGCTGGTTGGGTATGGTAAGGACGATATAAGGCTGGTTTGGTAAGGTAAGGACTATATAAGGCTGGTTGGGTATGGTAAGGACTATATAAGACTGGTTGGGTATGGTAAGGACTATATAAGGCTGGGTGGGTATGGTAAGGACTATATAAGGCTGGTTGGGGATGGTAAGGACTATCTAAGGCTGGTTGGGGATGGTAAGGACTATATAAGGCTGGGTGGGGGTACATACGTATGAAGGACAAGCAGTCCTCGACTTACATCAAACATGTCCTGTAGTGGTCCCAACACCTTGGCCTCCACATCTATTTCATACTGAAGGGCATTAGACGCCAGATTATCTAAGGCTGGTTGGGTATGGTAAGGACTATTTAAGGCTGGTTGGGTATGGTAAGGACTACATACGGCTGGTTGGGTATGGTAAGGACTATATAAGGCTGGTTTGGTAAGGTAAGGACTATATAAGGCTGGTTGGGTATGGGAAGGACTATATAAGGCTGGTTGGGTATGGTAAGGGCTATATAAGGCTGGTTGGGGGTACATACGTATGAAGGACAAGCAGTCCTCGACTTTCATCAAACATGTCCTGTAGTGGTCCCAACACCTTGGCCTCCACATCTATTTCATACTGAAGGGCATTAGACGCCAGATTATCTAAGGCTGGTTGGGTATGGTAAGGACTATATAAGGCTGGGTGGGTATGGTAAGGACTATATAAGGCTGGTTGGGGGTACATACGTATGAAGGACAAGCAGTCCTCGACTTTCATCAAACATGTCCTGTAGTGGTCCCAACACCTTGGCCTCCACATCTATTTCATACTGAAGGGCATTAGACGCCAGATTATCTAAGGCTGGTTGGGTATGGTAAGGACTATCTAAGGCTGGCTGGGTATGGGAAGGACTATATAAGGCTGGTTGGGTATGGTAAGGAATATATAAGGCTGGTTGGGTATGGTAAGGACTACATAAGGCTGGTTGGGTATCGTAAGGACTATATAAGGCTGGTTGGGTATGGTAAAAACTATCTAAGGCTGGTTGGGTATGGTAAGGACTACTTAAGGCTGGTTGGGTATGGTAAGGACTACATACGGCTGGGTGGGTATGGGAAGGACTATATAAGGCTGGTTGGGTATGGTAAGGACTATACAAGGCTGGTTGGGTATGGTAAGGACTATATAAGGCTGGTTGGGGTTACATACGTATGAAGGACAAGCAGTCCTCGACTTACATCAAACATGTCCTGTAGTGGTCCCAACACCTTGGCCTCCACATCTATTTCATACTGAAGGGCATTAGACGCCAGATTACTCTCACACTCTCCACACATCTGGAACATGTTCCTAAATACAAACAGGGATTACATAGGTATGTGCACACCAAATCTTTACAATGTAAGAGTTATCACAAACTGTTTTTCAACATGTAAATCAGCAGTGAGAGTTTAAAACATCAGACATATTTTTGACAGCATTACCTGAAATAAACTCCCATCCCCCTCACCGCTGGTGAGCAATACCTCGCTAGGACAACTCAAAGTTCTACCAGGTAAAGTAGTTACTGGGAGACTACCAATAAAGCAATGAATAATCAAATACAATGGTATTGTTTCTGAATTGTTAATTGTGAACATTTTGCTACAATTATTCCGATTTGCCTATTTCACTTCTATTCTTGTCAGAAACAACATAATCTATGGTAGATATTATACTTGTCAGAATGACATAATCTATGGTAGATATTATACTTGTCAGAATGACATAATCTATGGTAGATATTATACTTGTCAGAATGACATAATCTATGGTAGATATTATACTTGTCAGAATGACATAATCTATGGTAGATATTATACTTGTCAGAATGACATAATCTATGGTAGATATTATACTTGTCAGAATGACATAATCTATGGTAGATATTATACTTGTCAGAATGACATAATCTATGGTAGATATTATACTTGTCAGAATGACATAATCTATGGTAGATATTATACTTGTCAGAATGACATAATCTATGGTAGATATTATACTTGTCAGAATGACATAATCTATGGTAGATATTATACTTGTCAGAATGACATAATCTATGGTAGATATTATACTTGTCAGAATGACATAATCTATGGTAGATATTATACTTGTCAGAATGACATAATCTATGGTAGATATTATACTTGTCAGAATGACATAATCTATGGTAGATATTATACTTGTCAGAATGACATAATCTATGGTAGATATTATACTTGTCAGAATGACATAATCTATGGTAGATATTATACTTGTCAGAATGACATAATCTATGGTAGATATTATACTTGTCAGAATGACATAATCTATGGTAGTTAACACTGTAAACTGGTGTGATCATTTACAACCAAATTGAACACTAACAGAAAGGACAAAACTATTGTAACAGTGTCATTATTTTAATGACAATGTATTGTTCATATTTGTCAGTTGTTTTTATCAATATTTAATAATAATAATAATATACAACATTTGATAGAGGGCCCTATCTAGCTAACCTAGGCCACTCTAAAGCACTTTACAGTACATAGATATACAAATTTTACAATAAATACAATTAGCATCAACATTAATCAATACAATTTTTGAGGAATTTACTAAGTGCAACTTGTATACGAGCACTTGTCATACTTATATATATGACAGTGCTCTGTTTTTGAAGAGGGTCTCTAAAGTGGTACAGTAAATGAAGAGGGTCTTCCGACCACAGAATAAAGACAATTACCAGGTGTTGATCATTATTTCGAAAAGAACCCTTGAAGCCAGGACCGGCTACACTATGGATTTTTGTCATATATTCTCTGCTTTATAAATAGTGACCTTGACCTTAGGAACTTATTTAACCCCTGATGCACTTCATGTATCTATGTAACAGTAAATCACTACCGGGTATGTCTAATTTCATAAATTTTAGACTTTTAAATTCTAAAACAATTTCCAGAAACAATATGTTGATGTATAGACAAAGACTGTGATCAAGAAAGGACACCTGCATCTCTGATGTGGGGGTCCTAATTAACAGAATTACTGATTATAAACTACTGTCAATCATTTTATTCATACAATATTACAGACATTTAGAAATTTTGTTAAATGTCATTTATATACATCATACATACCCCATGACTGACTCTTTTCCCAGCAAACTAGCATTTTCAATTAAACTATGTGCCAAATTTGTTTCCGGTAATTTTCTCTGAAACAAGAAGATAAACAATGTTAAAAATTCCTTGCCATCGGCTAATCCCAATTTAGAAAGCCATACTGCTGTAAAAGATCTCTATACATTTAGTGTTTCCTTACCAACGATGCTTTCTGAAATGACAGCAATGACGGTAGCCCGAGTTTCCTCTGGTCCTATCACCAGACTTAAGACATGTTGACATATAGATGTCTGGTGTGGGGCCACAGAGCGCACTGCTATATGAAACCACTTGGTATAGGGGAGTGACTAATCAACAAAAAGACGGGGTCCGGAAATCTTTTGAACAAGAATTATATATTCCATTTTCGCTCCGGATCAGTACTGTTTGTTGATTAGTCAACCCATGACCTACAAAATGGCATTCACTCAGGTGGGAAATTTTGACCGGAATTTAGCAGCTGTTGGTGATAAAAAGAGCTGATTTGGATCAATTAACAATCCATTTATCGATATATGTGAGGTATGTGTTGTGTCATAGTAGATTACTGTTGTCAGCACCTCATGATCATAACTCTCCGATACCAACAGTGTCGGATGAATTCCACATTTTCATATAGCAGTGCGCTCTGGCCCCACACCAGACATCTATATGTCAAAATGTCTAAGTCTGGTGTTAGGGCCAGAGGAAACTCAGGCTACAATGATGGAACATGACATTGAACATATATTTATGTTGTAGTTTATGATGTGGAGAACTCTGATGATTTGGAAGATGTTAGGGTAGCTTTGACTTTGAAATCATCAAAATACAACTACTCAATCGCATAATATGGCAAAATAAACAAGAGATCCGAGATGGATCTCAGTGCCTACCACCATACCATCTTCTTATTTTCTATGTAAGATAGATTTCTTTTTTTACTTGTTGGATTGAGTCATGTAACAGTGAATGAACCTTGTGAAACTTTTGGTCAAAACTTCATATATTGTATGACATTATTCTTTCAAATTGAGGTTGTTGTTTGACCTACTTACTTACACAGTACTTAATGTGTAACAAGGGAAACCTACATTTAAACCTTGAGGCATATCTGTCAAGAACATCTCGTGAAATAGCAGTAATAGAAGTTTGAGAAAGATCTGTCAAGTACTTGAGAAACAGCAATAATAAACTTGAACAGTCAAAATCTAAGATGGCTGCCATTTTCTTTTTCAGATCAGTCGTTAAGTGAAACATGCTCAACAACTGACTAATGGAAACCTACATATGAAAAAAGGTCCATCCAGTATTAAGGACGGACAACAGATGGATTGATGATGGACCATGGACAAAGGAACATTTGAACAGCCCAATGTCTGATGAAGGTGGGCTAAAAGCTATGGATTGAAGACAGAAGCACCCAACTATGGCATAACCTCTGACACTAGGCCTTTCAGCCTAAATGAGCTAATAATTGATAATTTTCAGAAATGTTAATGTGAAGATTATTGTAAATACACTCCTCACCAGTCGCTTCTCCACGTCCATGCCAGCGGAGGACTGTAAACTGCCCGCCACTTTCTTAGATGTTATCTGCACCACAGTTTTTACCAGTTCCACCCTCTTTTCAATTGTCTGCAGATCTTCAGAGAGGACTTCAGACTTCTCAGCCCTATATCAAAGAGAATTTAAAGAATATGTAAATATATAAGTAAACATATTTTAGGCAGAAATGATAATATAAATAGAAGTCTTATAAAATTTATCAAAACTGTAACTGTATAAGTCTTATAAAATTTATCAATACTGTAACTGTATTAAAACGAAGCAAGACATTCTACCTGACTATGATTCAATCTTTAACTGGTTATGTGAGGCAACCCAAAATGGAACACTTTTTGAAGACAAATATATAGGAAAATAGTATTTGCTATTTCGTTACAATGAAACAATAGATGCCTTAAGCATTTATTTTTTTGTATTTCTTGGATATCAATGCATACATTTTTTAACAGACCCCCCCACTGAGTTAAGTTAGGTTTACTTGGATGTTCAAGCAGGAGGGGGGTACCCAAAATGGAACTAGAACACTGACAGGTCAGTAAGGGCCCCGTCTTGTGGCAATATATCCCCCATAATCATCATGGAGGAAACTGCCCACATAGGTGAGCTTGATGTTTGACATTTGGACTTCAAAAAGAATCGCAAGGAAGCAAAATATACATTTTATATGTACTATGATGCGAGTCTTATACAAAATTTAACCTTGACCTTTGACCCAATGACCTTGACCTTTGGTCAGTTGACTCCTTGTTTAATTCTGATCAACTTTGCTTCATCATGTCATAACAAAATGATCATCAGTCAAAATATGCAAATTTGACCTTGACCCTTGAATCTAATGACTTTGACCTTTGACCTCGACTTTTTACCTCAGTGTGTCTCTTTGTTTAATTCCGAACAACTTTGCTTCATAATGTCATAGCGAAATGTTCACCAATGAAAAGCTACAAAACTTGACCTCGACCCCTGACCCGATGACCTTGACCTTTGAACAGTTGACTCCTTGTTTAATTCTATCAATTTTGCTTCATAATGTCATAACAAAATGTGCATCAGTGAAAAGATGTAAAATTTGACCTTGACCTTTGAACTTAATGACCTTGACCTTTGACATTGACCTTTTACCTCAATGTGTATTTTTGTGAACTGAACATCTTGACCAAGTTTCATGTACATCAGTCAATAAATACCAAAGTTATCAGCCAGGAACAGAATTTGTGGACGGACAGACAGACAGAGTGATTACTATAGGGCACCCGTATCTCCGATATGGGGCCCTAATAATAACTTGTCATATAAGTCAGTTTATATAAATAACTGCAGCAAGATTGACACTTGTTTTGTTACTGTACTCATGTCATCTCCAGGTCCTCTTATACTATTTAGCACACCTGTGTCTTACCTTCCTCTGATAGTGTATATAACACACCTTGATTTTGCCTATCTTTGATTTTGTTATAGCAAAATTTCATTATACCAACCTCTTATAGTTTTTAGCACATCTGGATTTTACCTTGGCTTTATCTGATACCGTATCTAGCACAACTGGATTTTACCTATATCTGACACTGTATATATCAACCTGTGTTTTACCTATCTCCAGTACTGTATATAACACACCTTGATTTTACCTTTAGCCGATACTGTATATAGCACACCTGGATTTGGATTTTACCTATATCCGATACTGTTTATAGCACAGTTGGATTTTACCTTTAGCCGATCCTGTTTATAACACACCTTAATTTTACCTATATCTTACACTGTATAGCACACCTATGTTTTACCTATCTTCTGTACTGTATATAACACACCTGGATTTTACCTATATCGTACACTGTATATATAGCACACCTATGTTTTACCTATCTTCGGTACTATATATAACACACCTGGATTTTACCTATATCTTACACTGTATAGCACACCTATGTTTTACCTATCTTCGGTGCTGTATATAGCACACCTAGATTTTACCTATATCTTACACTGTATAGCACACCTATGTTTTACCTATCTTTGGTACTGTATATGGCACACCTGGATTTTACCTATATCTTACACTGTATAGCACACCTATGTTTTACCTATCTTCGGTACTGTATATAACACACCTTAATTTTACCTATAGTCGATACTGTATAATAGCAGACCTATGATTTAACTATCTTCAGTACTGTATATAACACACTTTGATTTTACCTATAGTCGATACTGTAAAAAAAAACCCACTGGATTTTACCTATAGCCAATACTGTATATAGCACACCTGGATTTCACCTATAACCAATACTGTATATTCAATACTATTCATGTCTCATGTCGGTAAACCTCATGTTTTAATACAAGTTCAAATTTAACCAACTCGAGTAAGATAAACATCATAACCAACCACCTTTGGAGACTTCAATATCTATGGTTAAAGGAGAACAAACTTCAGATCATTTTACAAGAAATTTGGTGACAATCAGTGCAGCTATTTCGGAAAAGTAGGTTGTTGAAACAAAAAGTTGACCACATAAAACAGATACTGCGCCCTCTCACAAGTTCCAACTGGCCTTCACAGCAAAGTAGTTTACATTTAAATAACTGGGAGGTGTAAACAGCTACAACATGTAGACAATCAGTATGTTTATTATCTTTCACAAACCAGACGTGTATTCAGAAGAAGAATTTCCAAACCACCTGAAAACCCTCACATAAAGCTCTCTATCTGATTGCTGCTTTAGCATGTTCTCAAATTCCTCTTTCGTATTCTGTTTTTTCTGTTTTTGCTTGGCGTGACTCCCTGATGAGGAAGAGGAGATACCCACTCTCCTACAACAGGAAGTGACATGTGTCTCCTCCTGTCAGTGGAGAAGGCTTTATAATCTCCTTAACTACAACACTCCAAGCATCGTTAGCTTAACCAATATTACATCAAATATCAAAGTATCATTTCAATACCTTTTTCATACGTATATAATATCTTTTGCCTGAATTACTAGTAGTAATCAATAGAGATTTTGCTTAATTTGTTTTTAAACTATTAAAATTCGTGATCTGAGCGACTTTCCTGTATATATGTGAGTAGAGTAGTTACAGAGTTGCTGGTAGTTTATCTACTAGGAGATTTGGTGAAGTACATCTCAAGTTGGAGGCCTGTACATTGTGTTTCTCCTATACATATGAAATTAAGATTTAAAGGTTAAGAGATATGAACTATGGATCATAACTTTATCGTGCTATTTTAATATTTTCCAATAACTGCTGTAATGGGATACATTACCCTGGTCTATGGTTTTGTTTGTTTTGTTGATTTCATGGTAAAAAATAACCTTACAAAGCATGACAGCCCACGTCTTTATTTACTTCTGTACGTATGCATATGTGTTATAGAAATATTTACCTCATTATGGCTCCTCTTTATAATATTTGTACAATTTGCATCCCTGTATTTTTAAATAATTTGAACCCAGGTACAACATTATCAACAATAAATCTGCCACTATGATCATGTGGAAGGAAACTGCAACTGACTAATGATAATGCATACGGCGATGCCTCCTTTTTTCGGAGGGGGGGGGGGGGTTTGCAGCGGGGCAATTTGGNTGGTACAGTTGATTGTAGGTCCTCATTAAAATAGTGTCTTCATTTTATGGTACATCAAATTAATTAATGAAATGGATCGACTTGTGATGATCTGAAAGCTTTAGACATGAACTGTGATATACCAGTACTGGGCCTAAACCCTTAAAGCAACATTTCCACTTTTCTCAACTTATAATAAATGTTAAATGTGGTCCTTATATACTGATAATAATTTTGATAAATCATCCTGAGTCATTAACGCCGTAATGAATCATTAAGTGGTGAGCAGGTATAGCTTAACTCTGGCCCCGTTGTATTTTCCTTTTAATTGCCTGTGTCAGAATCTCATAAAAGGTGGTATAATGTACTTCCTGCTTCCGTTAAAATAGGTCGATATTTTTCTAAAGTTAGAAAAATTATATCATATTTCCAATGATATAGGTGTCATATGACCCAGTACACACAAAAACGTGAGTTACATAATAGCCTCTAGAACAAGATACATGACTACGTTAAACTGTGTGACTGACACATAACTGGTTTACAAACTACAGACAGTCTTTTCAACTTTCCTGTTGAACCTTAAGAAAGCAGAAGTTACATCAAAATAAAAGTATGACTATTTTTATCATACCATTACCGTTATTTAGATGTTAATGGCTTTGTGAGTTCCATGAATGTACTATTGACCATTCTAGCTTGCAGATACTACTGAGAATCAGCATTCTTAACATCTTCAGGCATGTACACTATACTGTATTTATAAAACAAGCTAGTTATTTACTACATGTTGTAAATTTCAATTTTACATTATTAATAAACATTCTGCATCCCAAATATCTTTTCTGCGTGATAAAGACTGATGACTCCCAAAGCACTGCTAAGTGTATGTTGTATAAAGCTGTTGTGTAAGATGTAATCAGTTCCGCAGATATAAGTGCTATTTCCTACACCAACATAACTTTGTTTATAAATGGCCTGTTTAAAAAATGCATTGTAAGCCCCCCTGGTTAATGTATGAAGCCAAAGACAAAGGTTTAAAGCACAAACAACAAGAGACCCAAAGGGCTTGCTGTGCTTACTTGAACTGTATTCATACATCATGTGTGCAGACTAGATAAGCCAATTACCGGTACCCCCTGAACAATTACTGTACTATGTAAGTTGCATATATTGGCCAATCACGTTTTGTTTGATGTAAAAATAATAGCTGTAAACTCTAAGCAAACAAAATGTAATATTTAACTATGAACTTCTAAATTTTAAGAAATTAGTAAGATTTTTTTACATTTTGACCTTGGTGACCTTGAAAGTAGATCAGGCGAAGAAAATTTACCATTGATGCTGCTGTTGACCTTTGAATCTGGCCAGTGTGACAAATTGCAAGTTGGCCTTTCACATCAACACAATATATAAGGAAAATATTCAACTGGATTTGTAACGGCTGAACAGCTGTAGTAGAACAACTGGATTAGTGCATGTGATGACTGGATAGTGTCAGTGGGAAAATTGGAATAGTTGTGGCTGGATAGAGGAACA